CTGTTACAGCTGTAACACTTACCAGTTCTGATCAAAGACTACCAATCTATAAAATAAACTGTTGCTTTTTTGCAGATACTGCTTCATCTTAGTATTCTGGCTTTTACTGCTTATATTCCAGATTTCTAATATCTTATACTATTTTGCCAGTATTAGCACCTAATTCAAACTGCCTTCAAAATACCAAAAAAAAGGGTAGAGTTACTTATCACATCAACATGCCACTTACAAATTAACCAAGAGACTCTATCTCCACTTCACTGAGATATCCATGTCAGTTGGTAGGATTCCTTTACCTCTCATTTCTTGGACAAGAGCATCACAAATTCAGATATTCAAATCTCCACACCCCGACAAAAGATGCATCATTAACATCAGGTCTGATCACAGCAAATTGGAAACAAAAGCATTTAATAGATTCCAGGTGCTTTTCTACTGCATTCTAACAGACAACTATATTGCTTACCTGCAGTGCCATCAAGTTGTACAACCAGTTGAACGAGAAGTTTGAGTGTTCAAATCTCACACCAAAAAACCCAAGAATAAGGGCTCGGATGACTTTTCAAGCCGCGCTGAAGGAAATCTGTATTTTTAAATGGGGGCCATCTTTCAGATCACTTCTTAAAAGGAGGCCACAGTCTGCTATTTAGAGTAAAACTGCAGACGGTATTATCTGAAGGGAAACAAGGATCTCTCCACATGTCCCTCCATCATGTTGAACACTCAGAAGATCTTTACATAACTGCCACTTCAAAACATATGAATTGTTGACAAAGAGCTTCAAGGTATCCCAAGTAAAAGAAGTGTCCTTCCTCACTGCAGAGATATTAGGAACTGCAGATGCTGAAGAATCTGCGATTGTTCCCAAGCGAAATAGGAGGTGCTGTTCCAGCAACAAACAACTGCACCTCCCAGTTGCAAACCATTTCAACTCCCCCTCCCACTTCGTTGACGACATGTCCATCCTGGGCCTCCTGCAGTGCCACAACGATGCCACCCGAAGGTTGCAGGAACAGCAACTCATATTCCGCTTGGGAACCCTGCAGCCCAATGGTATCAATGTGGATTTCACAAGTTTCAAAATCTCCCCTCCCCCCACCGCATCCCAAAACCAGCCCAGCTTGTCCCCGCCTCCCTAACCAGTCCTTCCTCCCACCTAACCCCTCCTCCAACCTCAAGCCCCACCCCCCTCTCCTACCTACTAGCCTCATCCCGCCCCCTTGACTTGTCTGTTCTCCCTGGACTGACTTATCCCCTCCCTCACTCCCCACCTCCACTCACCTTTACTGGCTCCACCCCCGCCTCTTTGACCTGTCTGTCTCCTCTCCACCTATCTTCTCCTTTATCCATCTTCTATCCGCCTCCCCCCCTCCCTATTTATTTCAGAATCCCCTTCCCCTCCCCCATTTCTGAAGAAGGGTCTAGGCTCAAAACGTCAGCTTTCCTGCTCGGCCTGCTGTGTTCATCCAGCTCTACACCTTGTTATCTCCTTCCTCGCTGCAAATGCTTTGAAATCAAGATGCACGGTATACAAATTTTGGTTGACTGGAATGTAGCCTCTACTCCACTTGCCTCTCAACATATTCTTGATCTGGATTTTACAACTATCAAACCTTCATCTCCTGAAGAAGTTTTTTTTTCATCCAACAAACATCAGGTTTTAAAAATTTCACCGTGTCAGTGTGACGTGCTCACCCAATAGGACTTGATCATGTCACATCTTGTACTCAGCATGCTTTGTGGTATATATTCTGTACTCTGGCTCTTAACATTTTGATTCTCAAATAAGACTACATTCAAACGCACTTGAACAAATTTTCATTCACGTGACAACTATAACATTTTATTTCAATTTCTTTTTGAATTAGCTACCAGCCTATTGGATAGCTCAACTGGTTTCTCAAAAAAATTAATGTTGGACATGGTATTCTGCAGCTGTTTGACAACAGTTAAGTGCATCATGAACATAGATTAGAGCTATTCATGCTGTAGAACAAAGGGGCACCTCACAATTACTGGTTCAAATCAAATACCAAACCACTTCTTGCAACAGCAAGATTTGGGAAGATGCTTCAGTAACATTTAACTTTTTTCCAAGGAGTGCCTCTTATTTGGGCAAATATCACTGTCATGTGTACTTCCTACACAGAATATTTAGACAATCACATGCTTATTTCAACGCTAGCATGTTGACAAGTTGATGGTGTATGAATTAACTCTGGAGCAATTTCTCTAAACCTGTATAAAAGTTTCCACGTTACTATTGTCAGATTTTGTCAAATGCAAAATGGCTACCACATAAATCACGATCGCTCCAAAGCTTCTGTGGGTATGAAACAGTTTGGGGCATCTGTAAAGTGAACAGGTCCTGACATAAATGCAAACTCTTATTATTTACAATCATTTGATGGCAATATGGAAGCTTTCCAACAAAGCTCTGCATAAAAGCAGTACAGATTTCAAATCCAGTTACATTACGAGCTTGAAATGATAATGACAGAACAAGTTGTTGAAATATACATCATCTCTACAGAGAATTGTAGACAGTCCACAATCTAAAAGATAGGCTCCAACAGTAATATTATCCTTTCTCTCTCCTTCAGACTCTTGCAGTAAATATGATAACCAAGGAAATAAACATTTGCAACAGCGAGTTTTCAGAACCGCACCATCGTGAATGGTTTCACCTCTAGTGGATCACACGGTGTCACGTCAACAATGCCTCAGATGGTAACATTCTTACCCAAGTCAGAAGATTGTAGACTCAAGTACCCACTCCAGACATTCATGCATCAGCTGTGTTGCAGAACTGCGAGTGGGTTACATTGTTGAAGGTGCTATCCTTTTAGGGGCGATATTAAACCAAGAGTGTCCCAGAGGAACAAAAAATATCACGTGGCACCAATTTTCAGGAATAGGTGAGTTCTCTCCATTGTTCTTGCGAATACTTATGCCTCAAATCAGCATCACTAAAACAAAGTTTACTTGGTCCTTACCACATGCCTGTTTGAGAGAGCCTACTGCATGCAAACTGGATGTCAATTCCCTTCCAAAAAAAAAACGTGACAAGTACTTCAGTTGCTGTGAAGCACTTTGACATACCCTCATCCTAAATGGCACTATATCTATTGCAATACGTCACTCCAACAAAGAATCTCAAAGTTGCTCACCATTTCCTCAAAAAAAAAATCAAAAACACAGCTCTCTGCTGAAGCGCATCTCCAGTGATTCAAAGGGTTCAGAAATGGCTGATAAGTTCAATGCATGATCTAAAACTCTTCAAGGGTTCATTAGATGAGTTACTTGGAGTTGTGCACTCCCTTCCACAATCTTGAATAAGTCTCTTTATACGTCCGGTACCTTCCAAACAGCCTTTTCCATTTCAGTCACAAATAGGGATTTCCCAACAAGTCAGTGGATAAGTACAATATCTTCAAAAATGTTCAGAGGACATCCCAAAAGTATTTCTGCTGCTTGCCAAGGAGACTTCTGCAAAAGCAGAGTACAGCCAAAACAGAAATTGCTATCAGAGCTGCAGAGTTGCTACAGCCATTTCTGTTTTTATTTCAGATTTCCAACATTCACGGTTCTTTAGTATTTTGTTCAGAGTACAGCAGTTGCTTCATGGTGTCAGGCAGACCAAAAGACATGTCCCATTTAGCAGAGGCAGTTTTGAGTGGTTAGCACTTGGATCTGGGCAAGATGGCTTATAAACAAAAAGTGTGACCCAGGTTTAAAATAAAAAAGGTCCAAGCTACAAATGCAGGCTGGAACTGCTATAAAGACTTCAATTCTAACATGCTTAACAGTCAGTATTCAGTTTGGCTGGAGCATTCCAGAACTAACACACACGAACAAGCCTTTGAAACAAAATGCAAAAAAAAGGTGTACAGCAATGAAATCAACTATGATGTAAACGCAAATAGTTTACTAGTGGCTTCTGAAATAAGTGAAACAGAAGTTAATTAATACCTGTACATGTTTAAAATCTGCATTTGACAGTAAAGTGCAGGCTTTATTTATTTTAAAAAGTTGTATGCCCAATGTTCCCAAATATTTGAAGTGGCTGGTACTATTTGCAGGTACTTGACACATTACAAAGATCATATGTCAACAACCGTATCAACATCAACATTCGCTTTTGGGAGAAGAAAAAGTTTCGCAACATCCACTGAAAAGAACTGATGAAGTACACAAGGAATTAAATGAAGTATCTACAATTACTCACAAGACTAAAAGTTATCTGTTTATAAAATTTCAGCAAAATAACACAGACAAATGTTGGATAACAGCTTTTAAACCCAACTCAAAAAGGCAAATGACTCAAATTCATACTATCTACGCAGTGAAATTCCTTTTGCAGGTCAAGTGACAAGTTTCCAAACATTGTAGCTGCAGAGGTAAGACCACATCTCACCTGTGTTGAGCACATCAAAACAACAGATAAAAGCCAGCTTGCTCACGCCAGTACGGTATTTTGTTTGTAAAGAAACGCCTGTTGCTTTACATCAGACACCGTTACAGAAACACGTGTAAAAGTGAACGGGGAAGGAGGAGTGAGAGGAAAACGGAGCAGAAATTTCGAATCCCGTTGTTATCTGAAAATTAAGATTTGCTGAATTTATTTCGGGGCATGTGCAGTCGTTCTTAAATCCGAGGGTGTAGAGAAAACAAAAATACAGCCCGCAAACCACATCAAAAATCACGAGCTGCAAATGAAACTTAACCTTCAAACATAGCAATCCACCTACGACCCGGAATTACAGTATGTGAAAGCCTGTAGGAACCAAGAGACGTCCTACAACCTGCCCCAACACCAATGCGAGCCCGAGCCGGGTAAAGCTCAGAACCGCCTGCGGTTTTACGCGAGACCGAGGCTTCACCGGTTCAGGCCAGGCCGCAGCGGGGGTGATGAGCGAACAACAAAAGGTCACTCGGCAGGAAAAAAAAGGAAAGCCGAAAAATACAAAAATAGGTGTAAAAGAGCAGAGATTACTCACTCGGGAACGTAAATGGAAGAGTAACTGGACCATTTATAAACGCAATAAGTGATCGGCCGGCACTCGGGCAACACCGCCGCCATCTTACAGCAGCAGCTGGCGCTGTGCACCACGTGACCCGGGAGGAGGAGACCACCCAACGCACACATTCATATACTCCCCTCGCTGCATATACACCCCCATTGCTTATGCACCTCCACTACATCTACTCCCCTCACTGCATATACACCTCCACTGCATATACTCCCCTCACTGCATATACACCCCCGATGCATATAGTCCCCTCACTGCATATACACCCCCACTGCTTATGCACCTCCACTACATCTACTCCCCTCACTGCATATATACCTAACACACATATTCATATACTCCCCTCACTGCATACACATCCACTGCATATACTCCCCTCACTGCATATACACCCCCGATGCATAT